CAAGTGCTAGGATATTTAAAATCAATTTTTAGTTTCTATGAAAAAAGTTAATTTCACCTGCCTGTGAAACTCACTGGAGAGACTAGTGAGGAAGAAGGATTTTTTCATTCCCTCAAAACCCTATTAGTGGACATTTTTGGAAAGCAGCCTTAATAAATATTGCATCATACTATAGCTACATATCTATTGACTTATATGAAAATTCAATATGCATTTCTTAAATAAGCATAGAAGCTGAGTATAATTTTTCAGACCAGTGGTTTTGCTATTGCATGAGAACTTTCTTAATCAAAGTTTATCTCAAAGAACAGACGCTGACAGAGATGAAGTAATAATGTGGCTGTGAAATAATCTGCTGGAGGAAAAACTGTTTTCCCAAGTGGCTTTAGGGACAGAATAACCAATGTATTTCTTTGGGTAAAACACATTGTGCTAGGCTCTTTCTACTCAGGCATTTCTGGTCTTTACAAAAAGCAGATAGTCTCCCTTGTGTCATTTTTAATTGATTTTTCACTGCATTACAAGAGATCATTGGCACCAGTCCAGGAAGAGGCAGGCAGCAAGTAGGGAATTCATCAAAAACTGACTCATTGATCACTGGATCTGATGAAATAATTACTACTAGATATTTTCAATACAGTTTCATACTGTTATTTTGACTTCTGAAAGCAAGAGAAAATCCCTTTATACCAGAAGATCACTGAGTAAAACTATGATTTCAAAAATTCTTCAGCATGCTTATTAATTTTTTGGAATCTCCTTGTAGGAATTGCTAAGAATTTTTTATTGGCTCATTAGCAGCAGCAGTACCAGATAGATGTGCTCTATTTTGCAAACGAGTCAATTTTGGGCCATTGTATTTATGATGGAGAAAAGTCATAGGCAGTGCAAATCATTTTGGTGCATCCATTCCCAAACATTTGCAGTAATGGGCCTTCAAATGTGTTTAATAATAATAATAATAATTTAAAAAAAAATCTTGGAAACCAACAGAAATGCTGAAGGGATATCACACTAACATCAAAGCTGTAGTTGATTTCAAACAGTATCACACCATAGTTCCAAGATCGGGGCAGCTCTGCTCTAATGAAATTTGTAAGATAAATCAGTGTATAACATATATTCTGTCTGAGGATCCTCTATGAATTTGCAAATGTGTTGTTAACTCAGTACATTTTACCACAGTCCTGTTTAAAAATATGGATAGACGTGGGTTTTTTTCTTCAACATCTGCATTTTTGATGCAGTAAACAAAAATGTCATCTCAAAACATCCCAGAAGGAAGAAGATTGCTTTTTATATGTCTCAAAGCAAAAGTAAGAGTTTGATACCCTGCTAAATCCTTGAACTTGGAGCCAAATCTGAGCACAGAGTGAAACTTCGTTGCCTATGTTGGTAATGGCTTATGAACTATGGATTTTTCAAGTTTCTGCTTCTAGCTGGCATTAGAAAAACAAAACATTCAGTTGCTTTGTTTTGTGGTTCTTTGGGTTTTTTTACTTAGGAGTTAGATTATTTCAAATATATTGCTTTTTACTTCTTTGGAGAGAACCTTGCTGTTCCTTGGGGGAGGCAGGGGGGTCAAGGTATAAATAAATACTTGTTTCCCTCTCTCTTATAGGAGACCTGCAAACAAAAAAGAAATAGAAGCCATTAACCTGCCTTGTTCAGAGAGAACACTAAATCAGCACAATATGGCACAGCATAGCATTGTCCTTGGATTATTCATGATGACTGTTTTATCACTGTTGGATGGAAGTTCAGCTTTCCTGTTAAATCAGCGTCTGAAGGGAAGATTTCAAAGAGACCGTAGAAACATCCGTCCAAACATCATCCTTGTTCTTACTGATGATCAGGATGTAGAACTTGGTAAGAGCCCAACATAAAGAGAATTTTAGCTAATGAGCGTGGCACTGCTTTTCCTTGAAGCTAGATTCTTGCATTCAAAATAATTATCTTTTTTTCCAGTGTGAAAAATGATAGGAAGAACAAGTAGCAAAAGTTTAAACCTACCTTTATGTAGAAAATACTTTCCGTCTGCATGAAATTCAAGGACAGCAAAAGTTAGTCTCAACTTAAAGTGTCAAACTTCCTGTTTTTGTGGAAATATGAGATTCCTGCCTATCTGTCTTCATCTAGACACCTAAACTACGCTTCTGGCAATTGCAAGTATAACCTGGGAAGCTACATGCCAAAGCAGTAGGTTTAAATTCATAACTGATTGTTGCACCATGTAATTACCCAAATTTTTTTGTGTAATTGCAGACATTCATTACATATACAATTTTAATTTTAATTACTTAAATGTTACCTAACACAGTCGTACTATTCTTGGTATTGTCCATTTAGATGTGTAGTTAATTACTGACCAAAATCACTTAGTATGAAAAGGTTCTACTGTGTTATTCAACGCTATGTTAATTGTTGAAGAAAGGAGATGAATATTAAACACACACTCTGCCTAATGATTTGGAATAATGAATTAACTGACAGAGTTTGGGTTTTGTTCTGTTACCTGAACAAGCTTATATTTACCAAATGTTGTCTGTAGTTAGGAGAAGTGATTAACATGAACCAGTTTACTTTAGTAATTTTGCATTAGAAAGATGCTTTTAAGCATATCATCTGAAAGATGAGAGCTTGTATATGTGAGGTCTGGTGGGTTTTTTTGACAGTGTATCAAATTTCTAGTATGGATGGAAAAAATTGGAAAACAGACCTCACAGAAGAAACAGAACACAATAGTAAAGTTAATCAACTTCTATTACTTATACACTTACTCATCTAGTTGAAAAGTTAATCACAGCAACATGGCAGTATTCTTATAGATGCTTCCTTTTTATCAGTATTATTGCATGTCTGCAGTGTTGTAGATGTTACATTCTTCTCAAAGGTGGTGAGAGTTTTTACTGCTATGGCAGTAACCCCACCAAATACAAATGTAATTCAAATTAGCAGGATCAGAAGATTTTTTTGTTGTTGTCACTTTTTTTTTAAATGGTTATTGGATCACAAATAAAGCAGTTTCAATAATGTATATCCAAAAGAACCTAAGTACATTATCTTGCAGGCTCAGAAGGTGGTCCTAAAAAATTTATCATCATCTTATTTTATGGTAGCCTGCTTGTTTCTGATGCAATTGTCTAAGTCCTTTGGGCAGTGTATTTCTCTTCTCTGATAATCTGATGCTTTCCAATTTCAAGCATAATGGGCATGTGTCCACACAAATTAGGATCTAACTAAGGAAAATCCATTTGATGAAGCTGAGATTTGATACTCGTCATTTGCCACTAATGGCTTTGTGAGACCCAATATTGTTTGCATTAATTTTTATTCTTGTCTATTGTCTGGTGAGCTGTCCAAGTTAATCAAAATTGCCATTTGTGGGGATTGTGGTTAATGCATTTAAGAAAGATGAAGGCAAGATGTGAACTACAAATAAAAACTAAGGAAAACTTGGAAGCTATGAAAGCGTAGCAGGGAAAGCTGTGCATAACTAAAATTTCATCTGTTTCTGAGAATATTCTGTAACTGATGGGTGTTGTAGCTTTCATTGTTCTTTTGTGGCTACTTTTGAGGCAAAAGGGAAGACAATACAATCTCAAGTGCTCTTAACAGCCTTTCCTTTATTTAATTTAAGATAGATTTAACAATGTACCAGTAGCAGGTGGAGTTTGCCAGAGAGAAAATGTCGTCCTTTCAGGAAAGGAGTACAACTTTTTTTTTTTAACTTTTTTTTTACTTTTTTTTTTTACTTTTTTTCCCCCCCCCGTAATTTGCACTACTGTTAGTCATGAGTTTTACTTGGGAAACCAAACCTCAGCCTCGTATTGAAAAAAGGAAAAGACTGATAAGGGGCTGATGAAAAGGATGCAGAATCTCCAGGTCAAAGGAGAACGAGTGTAAATTGTAATGGATACGAATGGGAGAAGGCAAATGAGAACACCAAGAACTACTGAAACATACATGCTCAGTTGACTGTCTCATCAAAAGAGTTGTACTGACAAGTAGAATATAAAGAAGAGGAATATACTGATGAGGAGGAAGACTTAATTAGAAACAAAGACTTTTTTTTTCCCCACTAGAGCCATTTAAGTCCAAGTTAGTATAATGCTGATGTCCCCTGTGTGATGGACTTGGCATCTCCAGTTTAATTAGGTTTGCCTACCATATTGCTGTGCTTTACCAAACCAGCTTATTTCATTATCTCATCACTGGAGAAAGATCTGATTATTTAGAAGATATTTCAGCCACGTTAGAGAAATCTGAGTGAGAGGTGATTTGTATGTTCCTACATCTTCCTCTGAAAAACTACAAAAGTGGCATGGAAGATAATTTTTCTTAGTTATCATACATGGAGATTAGGGTCTTAGAGCTTCATTAAAATTAAATATGAGAAAAAAAAAGGAAATGAAGATGTGAAAAGGGTGTCTAACGATGTTCAAATAGGATAAAAATAGAAGGCTTTAGGGGACAGTTAATTAACATTCTGGGGTTCAGTTAACTTATCTGCATATGGATACCACTTCTTAAATTGTGCTTCAGAGTAGACTGAGTCACTTGGGACTTAATACAACTTCTTCAACAGCTGGAGCTCCCTAAGACTCACGTAAATTATGACCTCTGACAACAAAACACAACTAATGAGAAAGTCAGTATTATTTCATAAACAACTGGTATATGTTGTCCATTAATATTAGTCAAAATATCAGCCTTATCCCTAAAGTGAACTGTGAAGACACACTAAGCAAAGTTATGGATATCACACAAATTTCAAGAGGAATTTCAACCTAGGTTTTGCTTCACTTTGTTCAGTGAGCAGCTTGAATGCATCAAATTGATTAAACTTTCATATTTTCACAGTAGTCCAATGGATTATTTTTTTTTTTGTTAAATAGCTTAGAAATTTCACATTTAACTACTAAATCATTTTTATTTATTATCAGTGGTTTTAGACAGGTAACAGAACATTTTCTGAATTAAATATTGACACTTCAAAGCATGACTTCCCTTGGTACATCCACTGATGAAACCCCAGAAGGTTTTCCAACTCAAAAGGTGATTTGGTGAGGTTCCAGTTGCTGATTAACACATAACTAATCTTCTGCTACAGAAAGATCAATTTCTACTTTTTCTCATAATTCTATGTTTGTATTGGAGGCAAGCTGAATAAAATAAGTTTTGGTTGGCTGGTTTAATGCTGTTTAAAATATTTAAAGCTGGCCTATTTAAGATTGTACAGAAGAGTATGCTGGATTTTTACCTTCCACTGATCTGTCACTCTGTATTAGTTCTCAAGCTGGGGAAGCAGATTAGATCATATGGTTTTGTATTAAAGACTGTTGATATATAGGGCCTTGTCATTACAGCAGTTTTATTAAAGGAGGTTACTGCCCCCAAGGGGAGTCTTAACATGTACTGTTATTTATGCACAGATGCCTCTGTCATTTAAAGGGGTTGTTAAATTGTATTTTAATATTGGGATGACAAAACATTCTTTCGGTCTGCCTATTTATGCTTGGGCTAGCTCATAAGACAACACAGAGGAAACATCCACAGTTTTCAGGCTCACATAATGTATAATGGACTGTTATAATTGTTAAATGTGTTGTTAGTGCCTTTGAGCACTAACACCTGTCCCACAGTTATGGAAACAAAAAATCTTGCTTTCTTCAGAAACTTCTTTTTGATAGTGAAGTTTAGCAAGTTCTAAAGGGGGAGTGCAATAACCTGCCTTGTTCTTGTCACAAAGTGATGTGACAGAGATGTGCTCTGACCTGAGAAATGCACAAACAGATTTTTTAAAAATTTTTTTATATTCATTCCAACAAAATGATCTCAAGAAAACTAATACCATGGCAATTTTTAGGTGAAATGACCTACAGTAGCAATTAATCTTCCTTCATGGTGCCAGAGAGTCAGATTTCGTATGTGGCTTATGACCATTTTCCCTCTAGGTTTTGACTCCTGGTTATATCAATGTGCCCTGCATCAAATCAACTTACTGTTGCAATTTCATAATGAAATCCCTGCCTAAAGAGCATAGAAGAAACCTAAACCCATTATTGACAGAAACAACATACAGTTTGTGCTAGATGGTTGCAGGATGCATTGATTAAAGCTGAACTATTAATCCAGCTCAACCTTGGGTAAGTTAGCCGCAACCCTACTCCAGGATGAACCCATACCTCATCTCTATGTTGTCTATTGGCTTTCCCTGCTCATAACAAGAAGGGAGGGTTGTTGATGGAAAGGTTTACTCTCCTTTGCAAGGTCATGCTGGTGACAGGTACCATTACAAGTTCTTTGGAAAATGGAAATTCTTCGTAGATCAAGTATAACTCACTCTGATGCAGTTTTAACTATCAGGCACCTATAGGTGAGGGAAACTAAATGTCTTTTTTCTTCTGATCCTCGGTATTTCTGCATGTAGGAAAATCTGCATGGATCCAGATTTAGCTAGGTGGATGTCTATAGTAAAGATCCAGTCTTTGTCCAAAGCTTTGTCTTAAACAGGAAACAGAACAACCGTTTGGCAGCAGTGTGGCTTTTAGTAATTGTTGGCAAAAAGACTTCTTCTCCCGTTACCCCAATTCATCCAAGTCCCTGCCAGTTAAACTTGCTTGTTTGTTTTTAGGTGATGGTTATAAACTACATGGTGTTATCTGTCCCAAGTAGTCATCTAAAAATCTGATTCCACAGAACCAAGCCTAAGAAAATGTAGAGAGTTTTAGGTAACACTATTATCAAAATGGATCAAGTGGATAGAAACTCAGTGGGCTGGTTATGGAAATTATTATGAGGGCTTTACTTTGTCTTTGGTTCAATGCAAGTTACAGAAATCAATACCTGCTAATGCCTCATATTAGGCAAAAGAACATTTTATCTAGAGAACAACTCTAGCAGACCCTGCTTGAGCAAGGGGTTGGACTAAATAATCTCCAGGTGTCCCTTCCAGCCTCAATGGTTCTGTGATTCTGTGATTACAGCCCTCAGCCTTTTTGCAGAAGGTTGGCACAAAAGGCAGTGCATCAGGTATCTTCTGAAACCAAGGAATAATAATGCTTAAGGAGTATGCAAACTTTGGTCAGGGTTGCTGCACAAAGTGAATTTCACCCTCAGGCCATATTGTCTCAGCCTAATTCATGGTGGTTCTTGCCTTCAGCTGCTGGAACAGTACTAGTGGCTCCAGAAAGGCTGCATAGATGGTGCAGGTAGTACAGTGGTAAATCTTGAGCTTAGAGAGAGAGAAATTTAAAAAAGCATTATGATCTATGTCAACAGCTTTGAGTCAAATCTTAACTTAGGACTTCAGTATTTGGTCCTTCTTAAAACAACGGGAGAACTTCACTAGAGGAGGAGAATAATGCGTTTGGATTTGGGTTCAGTATGAGATTAAAGTGCCCTTACTTCATTCTGGTCTCTGATGTAACACATGAGCTCTTAGTTAGCTCTTGTGACTGAAACAAGAAAATAATTCCGAGACTTTTTTTTCTTCCAGGTTCTATGCAAGTGATGAATAAAACAAGGCGGATCATGGAACACGGAGGTGCTCATTTCATCAATGCCTTCGTGACAACACCCATGTGCTGCCCATCTCGCTCCTCTATTCTTACGGGGAAGTACGTCCACAACCACAACACTTACACTAACAATGAGAACTGTTCTTCTCCGTCCTGGCAGGCTCAGCATGAAATACGTACGTTCGCAGTGTACCTCAACAACACAGGATACAGGACAGGTAAGACCAAGGCTGGCTCCATCTGAAAGCTTCCTTAGACTTATTAGTAGAGAGACTAATGTATATAATATTTTAATTTGTTCTCGTAATGGACTGCAGCAGTGCAGAATGCCAGAACTTCAGTCTTGCGTGTAGGTTTAGCTTCCTTGTACTTTTACTTGAGGAAATCTAAAAAAAAAAAAAAGACTTTTTTCAGAAGCTGGGAAGGATAAAATAATGTGCATGTTTGAACCGAAGGTGTAGCGCTTGTAGAATATGCCCTGCAATTACCTAAGTGCACAGAACAGACAAGAAAGATGCTATGGAAAGGAATTAGTGATTTGAGTTTTTCATAAAACAGATATATTAACCTAACTAAGAATACAAGAGTAAGAGACTGCTCCTTCTGTGCTTTCGGGCAGAGCTGTCAGCTGCATTGGTTTCTCCAGACAATCCATTCCCAGAAAGGTGTTTAGGATAGGTAACAACTGAGGAATAATCGGCAAGATCAAATGTACTCCTGAGAAACAAATGATCCTCTTTGCATGCAATGTTCCTTAGGAACAAATATCCTGTAGAAAGTATTTCAGAAAATATGTAGCATGTGTTTCACACCTATTTCCTTCTTGCGTTCTCAGATATGAGATTTAGGTCCTTGCCCATTACAGTGGTTTTGTCACTTTTCTTGCTAATGCCTTTTGTCATGATGAGAAACGGGCATAAACCTGGTTCTCTCTGTGTTATTTATGGTATATATACTATAGTATTGTAGTATAGTTGTTATTGATAGTATACTTTTTTTTCTTTGAATTTATAGTATTTGAGGCTTCCAGAAACTAGTATAAATCTTGAATAAGTGTAACAAGATCATTATTTTTCTAACTATTCACATGAGTTTTACATGTTATTGCTGCAAAGTCTTGGTCTTAAATAGGTAATTTCCTTGTTTTGTTTTTCTAAAATAAAGACTTGAATTAATCTGGAAAGAAATAAATTAGGGGAAGTGCACATTCCTTATTAATTGGTTGCTGTTTCCCTCCATTTGTCATTCCTGGCACTAGTACCAATGATCATATGAATACCACACCAAGGTTAATGTTTTATTCTTCATAGATTGTTTATTTTGTGTTTACTGATGTTTATCTGTTGTAACAATTTTTACCTTTAGTTACTATATTTCCAGCACCTGCAATTTCTACTAACTTGTATAGCTATCGCAAGCGTCCTGGTATTCATATGTCTTATATTTTTACATTAACTGAATATTTAAATTTAGACCCAAGATCTTAGTGAATCTATATTACATTTTCAGTCTACCTCAATTTGCAAACTATATTTATTGGAACACACAGAAATAGTACTTTTACAAGTACAAAGCAATCTTCAGGTGTAAATGAGATCCTCATTCATGTAGTTAAATGTGATATGTTATTATACAAATTTAAATGGAAATTGCCATCACTGGAAGCTGGTGTTCATTTCTGATGCTCTGGTTAAAGTCTTAAGTTATCCAGTATGAAGGATATTGGCAGTGAGAAGGTTTTTTTTTAAACTCCCCCCCCCTTTTTTTTTACCCCCCCCCCCCCCCCAGTATCTGATCAGATTTACCTGCTTCAGAAACAGCAGGAAATTGTATTTTAGAACCTTGTTCACTCAATTTCTCAAGTTTCAAAAGTAACCTGCTAAGGAGAGTATTTTGGAGATTATGAATACAGTTTCTCTGAAATGGGGAGTCCTTCTTGAACGTGACTGCCATGAAGTCAAGCCAGGAAGATCTGGAAAGCACAGGAGTTCATTTGTAGGGTTTTGTTTTTTGTTTTTGGTTTTTTTTTTTGAGGTCCATGGTAGTACTGGTTTGCCCTGCAAACATACAGTTTAGCTTCTTGATCCCTTTTTTTTTTTTTTTAAGAAGGAGGAGAAGAAAAAGAGGCCATGAGGAATAAAGCCTTTTGAGGCTTGCTTTTATATTTAAGTTCACAGCCTTGGAGTGACAAAGCTATTATTTTGGAAGGGCGTTTGTTTTTTTCTAGTTCATAAGCCAAGCCTTCTCCCTGTGTTTTTATCTTCTCTTTTCTCTTTTGTTTAAACTTGAAGGAAGAAATTGTACTCTCCTACTCCACTTAACCTTCCCTCTGTTTTTCTTTTCTGCTGCTTGTTTCACATCTCCTTGCCCTCTTCTCTGTTCATTGTGATCTCCCTGTGTTTTGTTCTGTTGCAAAAGATGATTCTGCTGGGGACCGTTCTTTTTGTGTTGTAGTATTTTCCCCGTGGCGGTGGCGTTTGTGGTTTGGATCTATACAGACTTGTGCTGCTGCTGACATCTTTGGGAAATGTGCCGGTGGTATTGCGGGCAGGAGGGAGCAGTGTGGTGCAGGATTCTCTTGCGCAAGTTGCAAGTAAAAAACATGAGAGGGGATGGAAAAGGTGCGACTTCCCTATAATTGTTTCTTAGTTTCAGCCTTGGTTGTCAGTTTTATATTTTTCAACTCTGGCACTTTAAAAAGTTTGACCAACTTTGTTAGGCACTGGACTTGACAGAATAGAGATGAAAGGAAGAGGCTGAGCTCAAGGGAAGTTCTGTCTTTGGCTTTAACAGGCAGGATTTCGACCATCATGCATAGGGCTCACTGTCACTTTATGTGGATCATTTAAAATAAATACCATGACAATGCAAAGGATGGGTTTTCCTTTTACAATGGAAGCCATCGAGGCAGAAGGTGTTATAGGTATGTCTTCCTCTGCGTTAACCTGTCTCACAATCTAAAAAATGCCGGTGTCATGAGTAGTGACTGAAAGGCTGGGTTCTTGTTACATAGCCACTACACGTAGACAAGAAGTTCCCAATCTCAGTATATTAAGCAATCAGTCTGATTTTGAAGAGCTTCTCACATCATTGTCCTATTACATATTGTGGGAAATCAGGCAAGAGGGACAATTTATGTAAACAAACCAAGTCAATTGATGAATTAATCTTTAGAAAAGTCAGTCTAAGCAACATCTGAATCATCACTAACTTAAAGTAGTGGACGCTAGTACTTCAACTTGGAGCAGAAGACGATTAGAATGGAAAAGAAACAAAGAGATCCTGTGACAAACATTTCTGAATGTCAGGGAATTTCTCTGCCAAAGGTTTCTGAGTAAACATTTACAGAAAAAAGGTTCTGTTTTCTGTGAACATACGCATCTCTTTCCGTGAGACAGCTTTTAAAATGCACAATGCATTGTTGCGTGCTTGGGTCCTGCAGCAACAAATACCAAGATGTTTTATTGGAATACAGATTTAAACTTTTCCTTAGACATTACTTAATGAGAAAAGCTTCTCTTTTCCATTTGCTTGGCTGTCTGAATGATTAGGTCTTAAAATTGGTGACTGATTCCAGAATATTTTGTCAGCCTTATCTGCAGTCAGGAAATGGAAAGACATGTTTATCTTATTAAATTCAACAGAATTAGGGATGGTGGGCCAAATTCAGCCTGGCAGAAGAACACTTTTGCTTCAGTGAATCTTCTGAGAGAGTTCTGTTAATTTATGGTAGGGCTTAACGTGGCTCAGTATGCAGCAAATGCAGTACACATTTTGGCTAAGTTACCATCCTTGTTCCTGTTGAGCAGCACCCTATAGTACAGCTAACCCTATTCAGTTAAATGAACCTATTAACGAAGGAAAAAGCTGCTACTTGTATGGTAATATGTCAGTATCTCACTCTGATGGTAAGTCCATACTTGAATTATGCAAAGAATTAATAAATGCCGTTTTGCACCAGTCGTGTATTTTGAACCTAGAGAAGAGTCATTGTGGGAGGTCCATCTCTGCCATTATAAAAAATCTCTTGCGAATAAAATAATTCTTAGCACTTTCACGGGGCTTTACAATAATTAACTAATGAATTCATTAAAATTCAGTGACAATCTTCCATTTCCTCCCATTAATATTAGACTAAGAAGATACAGTGGCTGACTGCATTCAAATAATTATTTTTCCACTTCACTGTCTGAGCCTTTGACATTTTAAAGTGATTTTAACATTAAATTGTAAGAAAGAGGAGAAAGGCTATTGGTAAATGTTTATTAAAGGAGGAATGAACCTGAAAAATATGTGACCAGGTTTTAATGTCTAGATACATGCCAGGAGAAAAATTCTTAGATTATCAGTTCCCTGCTGTAGAATTTGCTCTCCACAATAGTTGCTGGTTGCTATTTTTTATTACAGAAATACTTAAAAACTTAAGTTGATGTCTATATAATTGCTTGGTAGGGAGTAATTGGTGACCTAAAAAGTCAAAGAGTAGACAGAAGCAGAGACAGAATAGTGAAGTACTTTCTACAAGATCACATGCAGGTGAAGAGCAACGTTAAGGAGAGATGCAAGTTTTGATTCACACTCAGCATGGCATAGTGGTTAGGGCATTGCATTTCCTCTCTGTCATGTTACATGCATATAAAGAAAACAGATTATCCAAGTCAGAGTAACGTCCTATATGCAGGACAGATAGCTTTTGCAGCTGATGAAGAACTGAAGGCCATTTTTAAAAATAATAACCAAGTGAATAAGAGTGAGACTTAATTGTGCAAATCACTTCTAAAAGTTAGGAACTGAAGTGTTATGATATTCACCTCCAAGACATCTAGGTGACTTTTCAAAACTGCATATCGGGTTTCTGAATTATTTATCTTGAAGGTAAATTAGTTTCCTTAGATCTTTTTCTCTCTATATAGAAATATTATCTTAGCAAGGTCTGTCAAATTATATCTGTTAGATGGTTTGAGACCATTAGACTTGAAAATGGTGTGAAACAAAGATTCAGGATAGTGGCTATATCATGATAGCTGTTGCTGCAAAAGGAAACCAAGGATCTATGCTGGAAAGGACGTAAGAGGAGTCCTGATGTATAGCCCAAATCCACTGACTCTGTCCATGTTACTACTTCTGGCAAGCTTGGTCCATGGCAGTGTATTATTTAGCTGGAATATCCTGCAAATACTCTGGAGAATGACATTTTCAAACAAAAGACAGTTCTGGA